TAAACAGTGTTTCTACTAAGCAGAGGAAATGTTTGAATCCACAGATACCCAACCAAGACTTCCGCTAACTCTGATGAAAAGTACTTCTGACTAAAAGAAGTTGCTGTTACTAAAGCAAGAAGTACAGCTTGTGAACATCGGATTGGCAACAGTCACCAATGCAGCTGGCGTCTCTGAGCTTCTCAGGGGCCAGGGCAGCCTGCTCCACAACCAGGAGAGGTGCTGCAATCTGAGCGTCTGCAAGAGGTGAAGGAAGGAAGCAATTAGAGCAGCTGTATTTCCAGTGTAGAGGCTGGGTTTGCTGGGAATGAGGAAGATCCCCACAGACAGGACTGAACAGAGCAATTGGCTGTGCTTAACCTGTGCAATGTGCCACAGTGGGTTCTCCTGCGGTGGGAGATGAGCTCAAGCACTTGCTGGGGCACGGCTTCACTGAGGGATTTTCAGTGCCTGAAGCATCCTAATTACACCTGCAAAGCGACCTGATAGAAACTTGAGGATGAACATTCATTAAGGAAACTTGGTTCACAGATAGCTCAAGATAGGTACTTCTCACACCACCGACTCTAGATACTTCGTCAGCAGCAAAGTATTTTGATTCTTTTGATTTGGTGTTTGGCTACCATCTAGTTAAATTAGCACCTGGAGATGAAGACAGGAGTGCCTCTGCGACATCCTGTAAGTGACTTCATCACAGCAGAATGCTTTTCAGGGACAGGAGTGCAGGGGAACACTAGTAAAGGTAGGAAAATCATCTTTGGATGGCTTTTGTGCCAGATGACATAGAAATGGATATAGGCAGTATTATTAGGTGACTGCAGGGAAGGTGGAGAGGAAGCTCTTTTCATGGTTTTCATGGATAACACAAAATGTTTCAGCTTGGTTGGTAGAAATGGTCGTCTTCAACTATTGAAAAGGTAATTTGACTTTCCTCATGGTTTTTTAACTTCATCTGATCTTTGAAGGATGGCCAGTGGAACTGCATGCAGTGTAGCACTGAAATAGGTAAAGGTACCAGCGCACTTCGGTACATAATTTTCTTTGCTTCTTCATCACACTTTTTCATCCAGCACTGGAAAAGGCCACCTCCACACAAAACCCGACGGAAAGCATGCCATATTTCATGTGGAAAACCAATAATGTAATACCTGCATGAAAGAAAGCTGCTTTAAGATTGTGATATAGTTTTCTTCACGCCCGTTGAAGATGAATTTCAGGATCTCTTCACTACTTTTCTGTTAGCTTATAATGACTCTGGAATAAATATCAGTGTAAAAAGGGCAATAATCAAGACTCAGCATATGTAGGCTGCCCCAAGAAGTGCAAGTGCAAATTCTCCTTTCTGGAATTGGCTGTGTTGGATGACTGCTCTCTGTCTTAGGAAAGCAGCTACCATAGTCTGCTATCTGACCGAACATCTATGGCAAAACAGGGGACTAACACTGAAAAACAAAGCATGCATCAACTTGGCATATATTTGACCACGCTATCTTGAAACTGTGAGACTGGGGCAATCTACAGTAGGCATAGTGAGTCACAAACTGGGAAGATACTGCTAGCAGTAGTTCAGGCTGGAAAAGTCTGATAGATGAAAAAGCCCAGAAGCTGAAAAAGGTATGGAAAGAACAAGTTAAAAATGTAAAGAAGAAAGATCATCCTTTAGCCTCATGAGTTCCCCTCCCATTAGGGAGAACTGTCTTTTGGGAGCTTCGTAGCCACTTGTGATGTGGCAGGACATATTATAGCTAAATTACTGTAGTATTTACACCATTGTGTCTCAAGACAGATGCATGCCACGCATACTTACATCTGGATTTGAGTATGACTTTAGAGAAGGCTGGAATAGACAGACCAACAGACAAATCCGCGTGAAATGCAGACTACCGGGAATCTCCAGAGCGCTCGCTAGTGAAATTTCACTAGTGAAATTTCTGTTTAAACTTCTTACTAAAGTAGTGATTTTATCAAAAGCAAAGCTACAATGTGACAGAGCTAAATGATTGTTGTAGTACTTCCTTGTTTTCCCCAGGGCAGAAATCTGCTTGGGGTCGTCCATCATTCAAGCTGTATTAAAAACCCCTACTGTGTGGAACATACTGACATAGCAGTAGCCCTTCTTTGTCAGTGAGATTATAGTAGGTTTTAAGTGAACAGAATAGCAGAACTTATATCCTTTGTTTTATGCATGCGTAGCTGGTATTTTCTTTGTTTGTATAACTAGACCCTGATATAGCATGTTACAATTGTCACAGTTGCTATTTAAGTACATTTCCTTTCTTGAATAAGTTACTGGAATTAATGAAAATAGCAAATCCTCCTGGGAGCAGCAGCACTAAGGAGGCATGGCTACCTGACGATTTCTGTTCCACCTGCAGTTTTCTATGTCCGCTGCCAACAGGGCTGAGCAAGGGCCAGCACGTGCTGGGGCTGGCAGGGAGCTGTGTTGTATGTTGACTGGCCACCGGGTATGGGACGGCTGATATCTGGCTGCTTCCTTTCCTTGGGTAAATGACTAGTTGTACGTGTCTCTCCCACAGTGGAAGCACAGCAACAGCTTTTGCTGATTTTTTGGTGAAACTTAGGAAGCTTTCTGTGAAACCCACATCTTTGCATTGATTTCCCCACATCAGACTTATTTGAGTATGGCCAACGCATTAGAAATGCATTATATGAGAACCGAGGGACAGGTGATCAGATGTCAGCAATTGTGCAATAATGATTAAAAAAGAAACAAGCTGTGCTTTCTTAATGTCTCTTATCTAAGAATCTCAAACTGCTTGGCAATTATGGAATCCATCATTTCTTACTCAAGCAAGAGTGCCATTGGCTTGAGAAAGCCTAACTGGAACCAATCCTTGAGCTGGTAGCACCTTGCACAATCTCTGGGTTTTCTTGAGATAAATAGTTACATTAATTGCCATGTTGCTTATGCAAATCTTACTGAACTATGAGTTTCTGCCTTCTAGGGCAGATGCTGTGCTCTAAGGTGCCCAAGCTCATTCCTAACATGTGAGTGTGGTGATCCACCTTTGCTAATTATCCAGCTGAGAGGATGGGTTAATTAACTGGGTGGAGAACTGCGTTAATACGGCTACACTGTTTCTGAAATGTGAACTAGTGTCTTTGCATGGGGTAGCACTGAGGGCATACTGCTCCACTGACTGTTGTTTGCAAATTTTGCAGCTTCTCTTGCGCTTTTTCTCCTTCCGGAACACATGGAATAGAAGGTAGATGGATTGCTGAGGGTGAATGTCATGTAGATGTACTAAAAGGAAGAAAACAAGCCATTCCTGATGCTCCTGGAGAGGCAGCAGAAACTCTTTTACAGTCTCAGCATGAAATTATTTTGACATAAAGTGTTTCAGAGGAGAGAGGAGATGATTTTAAACACACATAGAAAAAGTAATTTGTTGGAACGAAAGAGGCCTAATTGTCTTCACAGCCGAAAAGAAGGGCCTTTTTGTTCCATTCCCTTACCAAAAAAAAAAAAAAGGAATTTTGGCAACAGTACACATATTGTTTTAAGTGAGGTTCTTCCAGCTGTTCTTTATCTGCCTTGACCTCTACTTTGTCTGCTTGTTTATAGTCATTCTAGAAAGTATCTACAGTTTTATAGAAATAGAAGGATGCTCCTAAATGGGAGGAAATCAGCTGATTAAAAATAACAGTTGTCAAAAAGAATGATTTGGAGGGCTCTGCTGTAACCACTTATGCAGGTGGAAATGTTTCTGTAAGTGTGGAAATGGCTGTGTGTCACGGTCACAGGAAATGCTGATTTATTTATTGGCTTTGTTAGACTAGCTTTTTGCAGATACGACTGAGCCACAGACAGCTTTTTGGAATGAGCCAGCAGGAAATCGCCTTCCTTAGGAGAAGGAAATCACATTAACCTCTATTAATAAATAGGAAGAGATTCCTGCAGTCACAAAATATGGACAGATTTGCTTAATGGCAAGTTATGGCTGAGACATTCCGAGGGGCCAAAAGAAATTAGGCACTTTCATTTTATGGGGGTTTGTTGTTCTTTTTTGGTTTTTTCCCCAAAGAGATCCCATCTCTAACTCCTTAGTCTCCATATTATCTGTAAATAATTCTCAGTTGTTAGTTTACCACATACTCATGATTAACTAAAGTTCTATTCAGATTACTGTTCTTGTTTTTCCCACACAGTTGTAAAAGAAAAAAGGAAAAATTGCAAGAGGGCTTTTCAGTGGTTTTGAAGCGTATGATAAAAACGCTTCTCTAGGTACAGTACTGGGGGTTTGCCTTGTGAGAGTCAGCAACAACAGATATTCTCAGCAGAGCTCTGCCTACTAAGGTGATCTTAACTTTGAGTAAGACTACCTGTATTTTGACAGCTCCATCACAGCGGTCATCAGCGCGTTCACTCTGTTCAAGAGACTTATTGTAACTATGTTCTGGAGGTAATCTCAGCAGTTTCAGGGTACAGGAATTTGCAAGCAGCTAGCATTCAGTATCAATTGACAGGGATTTATCCCTTTTTTTTCTGCTATAAAGATAAATTTAGATTCTCAGAGCAAAACTCAGTAAAATGTTAAAAACAAAACAAGGCTTCTTAAATAGTAGAAGTTTATGGCAAATACGATGAAACCACATCTGACTTGGAAAGTCCTTAAGTTGCAAACTGTTGGAGGCTTGGAGAATGTTCATGGGACGTATCACTCTACGTTTCTCTGTCCCTTTCAAATCCTCTTGTTCCGTGGCCAGACGACACAGCCTACTGAGCTCTGTTCTGACCACTCTGTACTCTGTACCACTCTTCCACTGTGTTTTTAGGTTGTGTTGTTGTGGATTTTCATCTGCAAAACAATGACATGGCAGACACAATTTTACTGACTGTCTTATTGTTTTGTAGCATTTGATTAGGTTGCTCATTTGATAGTTTTTTCCGTTGAAGGTTAACTCATAGTCTATTCCATATCGTTCTTTTCCAGATAGAATCATCTCCCTGCTACTTGCTCACTGTAAGAATCATACGAATGAGAAATCTCCAGCGAGGGGATGCTTGTAAGTATATCTATTGTTCCAGCAATAGATTGTGGAAATAATTCGGGGATAACTGAATATTCTAAACACCCTTTGTTAAAAAAGTAAAGTTGATAGTATCATTAGGATATATCCAAATAACTATGTTATTATATCATTATTTCTCAAATAACTAATAATTGGAGAGTTGGGATCTACTTCATTCTGCAAGGATAAACAGTTAAATGAGAATATGTGTACAGCAAGGAGACAGCATATTGTTCAAAAGAAGTCAAGTGGTATCTCAGGATAGAGGCAACAGGTTTTTCTTTTATAATTGTATGTCAACCTCTTGCAAGCACTTAAATAATCCATGACTTACGTAAATAAATTGTTATAAACCAGGTTAGTCCCTGCTGCTGTTAAATTGAATGTTATTCCGGTGCTTGCTATGTCCTGGGTGGTTTTAAGAGTGAATATTATTTGAGGGAAAGTACTAACACAGAAGGGAGGATTTCTGCCCTGTATAGAGGGAAAGACTCTACCCCTATGCCCACCAGTAAATGCATGGTTTTTTTCCTAAAACACCTGTAAAAGGTGTGATTCATGAATTTAGATGTACTTTCAAAATTCTCTAGGAAGTTTATTTTCTTAGGAGCAGAAATGAACCTGAGGGATTCCTAAGAAAATACTGCTCAGTGTTGCTAATGCTTATAGCTGTGTATATTTGAGCAGCATGGGCTCCCACAGACTACATACTTCACCCTGAGTCAGGACCATTTACCTACAAATAAATTGCATTCTTGCCCTGGACCATTCCTGTTGAGTTTCCTCTAGCCCAAAGAATATAGTGGTGTGACTGGTGCATATAAAAGCCTGGAGGAGTACAGCAGAGCAAACCCCTTCAGCAAACAAGAGAATGAGACCAAGAAACCTATTCCAATTCAGTAGACCTGTTTTCCCCTTGCCAGCCCCTTGACATTTCAATCATTTAAGCACTGTTATGACAATGTATTGCTACTATTGGTAGGTACTGGTAGTGATAAGCTTCCCACATTTTCAGAAGTAAGAGCTAATTTTGTTGCGTAGGTTGTACCACCTTGGGAATTGTGGTTAGCAGAAGCAAACTTTTTCACCTCTTCAGTCTTGATTCTGATACAGATGAAATGAACAAGAAAGAACTTTCTAAAAGCATTACCGTCAGGCTAATGTTGTTGTTAAGTACCCTGGAATGACTGTCAAAAAGGGTGCTGATGGAGGTCTGAAATTCTTGTCCCTTTTAATGCTTGTGTAGCTTTCTGGTGACTGTGCAGGTGTTTGAGTCATATAGCAGGAAAGTGACATGAGCAGGAAAGGAAAATACCCCTGTTTTGTTAAAATAAGCAGCATGGATTTTCCCTGTGTGCTGTGATGAGGTGTGTTTGAAACAAAATGTACCTGTTAGCAGTTCATTTTGTTTGACTCTGCATGGCTACATGACCACCAGTAAAAGGGTCCAGAAACTAGCTCTAGGGAGAATGGGGAAGGGAAATGGTATAACCCCGCAGTATCTCTTGACTTTCCTATTTCATTTTGAACTGTAGCAATCTATACCATAGTCTCTTGCACTGGAAGAGCGAGAGAACAGATTAGTGCAAGAGGGTGGTATAGAGCAGCATTACCACCATGTGACACCTGCAGCTTAAAGGCAGGTCAATTTGCCAGAGGGCCAGCACCTATCAAGGAGAGGTGTGTGAGCCTTGGTGCAAAGATACTACAGTGAGTTATTGTATACTTCAAAGAACCTTTTAGGATATAACCCATGCTTCTAATGACCAGAACTAAGCTCTCCAAAGAGGAGCAAAATTGCCTTTGATGATGGTGACATTATGTTACATTTTGCTCCTCAAGTGTCCTTGACTTGGGAACAAAGAATTTTACTCACTCTGGTAGCCAAGAAATGAATTAATGTCAGCTTTAAAAGAGGATGTTCTGCTTAGACAGCAACACTAGGTGCGGAAGCAGCATAGCGTCACCTAAAAGACCAAAGTCTAGGTTTACCATGCAACACCGTTTTCTGTCTTACTCCACGGCTGTCACATGTTTCTCTGGAAGATATATCAGTGGACTTCCCTATGTCACACCTCTGCGTGAGAGATAGATATACTAGCCATATCCCAGGCCAGACTGTAGGGTCACACTCTCTGTACCTGCACCTCCCTCCCTGTCCGTGGCTGTGGCACATGAGTAATGATGCAATAAACCAGAAATGTTTCATCAAGGACTCTTTTAAGCTAATCTGCATGTCAGATGGTAAGACAAGATCTCCAATAAATAGCTTGTAGAAAGAGCTTGTGCAAGCAGAACTGAAGCAATACTTTGAACTAAATACACAGCTGACAAGTTTACTTGCATCTACTCATATAATTAAGGTTTTGTTTGATATGCTTTATATCTCAGTGTACATTTGATGCACAAGATTGACAAATCACATCAGTGGAATAGAGTACTTTGTCAGTGAAGTAGTCACTGATCTCTAGTGATTAACCTAGGCTCATATAGTAGTCACATAGAATTACATTAAAATACTTTTAAATCATTGTCATTATTTCTAGGATCTGAAAACATTTGTGAATACTTATTTTTGCAAAACTCTTCAGAGCATCACTATGTGCATCGAATTCCACCCCCCTTTTTTTAGAAAAAGAAAAAGATTAAAATAAAAAAACACAAGCAGTCACACAGAATCCAACCAACGCAGTTCAGTGCCAGGGAAGTATTCACTAGGCTCACTACAAAAGCCTCCAACGCTTGAGGTAACGAAGTAACAAGAAAAATTGTAGAAAGGCAACAGTGATTATCACAGATATGAAACAGTTCATATATCCTGAGAGATTAAACAGGTTACAGGTTTTAAATATGAAAGAGAAATGACTATGACGGACATGGAAGCTATTTGTGCAAAAATAAATAGGAGGGAGAAGGTGAATAAGGAGTGATTTTTTTTTTTTAATGATTTTTCGTGATGCGATGACAAAGGGGCACTCAATGAAATTATAAGCAGGAAATTTAAAACAAATAAGAGGAATATTTGTTAGCTGTGGAACTCATTGACACAGGGATAAATGAGTCTTAAAATATATCTGTTCAAGAAGAAATTACTCATGAGGATACGTCTAGCAAGGGCTTTTAAGCATGATATTCCATATGCAGCCTGGTTTGGGAGATCCCAAATATGGGAATGCCGGAATGAGAAAGGGTGTGTCAGGTGAAGTATTGCTATATGCTTATCTTGTTTCTCCTGCTTGGTAGCAAGGTGCAGAAGGGCTAGAACCTGGCAGTGAAGTAACTAAAAATTTATGTTTTAACATGATGAGTAAAACCTAATGGTTTTTCCCCTGTCTTGTTCTGGGAAAGAGAGAAATTCTCTCAGCTGAATCTTTCCCAAAATATTCAACACAGGACAGACACACCTCCTGGAAGCTTTCAGGCTGGATGCTGGAATTTATCAAGTTGTAGGCAACTAAAAGTGATGTCTTAGGACAGAAGGAAGGCAGCCATAAATCGAGGTCTTAACTCAACTCTGTCTATAAGTGGAAGGGAGATATCCAGTTCCTTAGCAAGGAGAGGGCACAGATGGGACACTTTGTTCCTCTTTTAGGGAAGCACAAGACAAAACGTATAAGCTATTCAGGCTTACTAGACCTACGCTTACTGGGGAGATACTTAGGATGAGCAGCTGATGTTTTGGATTTTAGCAGTCAACAGCTTCAAGTTGCTTCAAGCAACCTAATAGCAGCTTGCTGCAATACGCATCATCTGAGTGCTGCAGTGTCTCTGCATCACCTGCTAATTAGCAGGCTCTTTATGCTGTTGGTTGTTCATCTCTGCCCACTGGAATGCTAGATACCCTGGGTATGTCTCCAGGAGATTAATGCTAAATGAGCATGGCTGTCAGGAGGGAGCAGAAGGCAAAGGGATATAGTATGCAAGCAAAATGTCTGAAGTGAAAGACGTGTCCTTGGGAATCACAATTCCAACAATCACCAGTTTGTGAGAAGCTTGCCTTGCCATCTGCCTGGATCCAGCTTCCACTGCATAAAGTAGTATCCCTCTTCCTGCTCTCAGTCTGAGTGTGGTACAGTTGTAGTATGGGAGAAACAAATGGCATTGGCGTAATATCTGGTGTTTCTACCTGTGCGTTTGAATACAGAACAGGAAGGCAGCCCGTGGCAGTCTTTTTTCTTCCCCTTAGGATTTTGTTCTTCAAGGAAAGAAAAGGATCAACTCTGAACGCTGAAAGTGAGATTTTCTCTCGACTAACTCAGTCAGAAGGAAAGTACGGGGAAAAAAACTAAGACAAAAGAGTGGTGGGAAAGTAGGAGAAGAAAGTGTCGTGTAGCCTCGTTACTTTGCCACATTAACCATTGTTCCATCTCCCTTCCTATTCAGTAAGCCAGGCTGATTGCTATGTGACACTGTGGCTGCCTACTGCTACATGTGAAAAGTCCCGCACCAAAACTATAAGAAACTCCAACAATCCGGTTTGGAACGAAAGCTTCTACTACAGAATCCAGAGTCAGGTCAAGGTAAGGAGCCGAAGTCGTCTGTTTCAGCCCTCTGAAGATTTTCATTCACACATATCTTCTTCTATCTTTTGCAATTTTAAACTCAGATGATTCAGATACATCAAAACAAAACTATTTTTAGGTTACTTTCTGTTAGAAAGCTGCCTGCTTGGCTCCTGGGGCCACATTAATGCTATTAAATCAAGCTAAGCTAATGACACTTTGACCCTGAGGCCACCTGGAGTGGAAAGAGCCACATCCAGACTAGCAGGATCTTTTTCCTTCCTAAGCAGTTACTGCATGAATATATCTATAAATTTCTGGTTCTACTATTCTTTTTGTAGATTTCAGATTGTTTTCTGTAGTGTAGTCTTTGAGAACTCAGGCCGTGTGTGGTTTTGTGCCTGCATACAGACCCTCCAGCATGTATCCTGGGAAGCGTGAGAGCAGCATGCTCCTGGTGTCTCTGGGCTCCCTGGGCAGCTTTATGAGCCAGAATGAATGAAAAGCTGCTCATTGCTGTTAGGTATCTTATTGGTCCATCCCTCATGAGATGGTTTTGGAAGCAGATAATCTTTGTATTTTCAGGTGCCCCCCATATAAACTGGATTTTACAGGACAATGAAATGACAAAATGTTTTTATTGAAGATGGTTTCAGTCTGCATAGCCTAGTATGATGTATAAGGGCTCTGGTCATGGATGCTGGTCCAGTGTTACTGGTGGGCCAGAGACTGAGCTCTGTACTCAAGCTTTAAGGAAACTACAGGCTTTTACGAATCAGTGCAGGGCTGATGCAGATTTAGGGAGTTGACTAAGCTGTCATGTAGATACACCTAATGTATCACTCATGTTACGGCAATTAAGCTGAACTGTGGAAGAATCTATATTTGCATTATGAAGCACTTCTCTAAAGTGGGATGTTACTTAATTCCTCCCCTTTTCTTCTCATGCACATCCCCCAGACTCCTTCGCCCCTTAGACCCAGTAATGTCCAGACTGCAGAAACTGTGAAAACTTTATCCTTCTCTTCCTAGAATGTGCTGGAGCTGACTGTGTATGATGAGGATTTTGCTACTCGAGATGACCATCTCTTCTCTGTGCTCTTTGATACTGCTAAACTTCCAATTGAAAGAACAGTTCTCCTGTATTTTAAGCCTGATCCAAAGGTGAGATCTGTGAGATCAGTGTCTGTGAGATCTCATGGGTTGGGCTATAGAGGACACACTTACCTGAGTTTTCAAGCCTGAACTATAAATTATAATGTACTTCTGTTTCCTGGCCTGTGTATTGCACTGCCCTGCCCTACTTTCATATCTCTGGCTATGCTCATTGAAGCTCTACTGTATGGTATCTTCCACGAAGCAGTCCATTTTGGCTACAGATACTTGAAGGCTGGAAGTCAGTATTAGTTGATTCTCCTGGCATGGTTTCCTTGTTTTATTTCCTGGGGCTGAACTCAGAGATTGTTGTTCCAGTTTGTCACTGGTCCTGCAGCTATGTGACTCTATTGTTTAGATCAGGTAGGGATTTAAAACAAGATAGATAAGAAACCAGTGAAGAGTTACACAACGCTTTCAGGATCTTGGGGTGAGCTTTCTGAATCTACCATGGATTATTTATCTCAGTAATGGGTATTTGAATTGCCATTTAAAATGTAAGCAGAAAAATGTGGCTATTCTAGTCAGGAATCTGTATTTGAAAGCCTGAGGTCCCCACAAAAAATTCTGTAAATGATTAAATAGAACATATGGTTGAAATGGTGTGACACATAGGGAAGGTATCTGACTATGACCTATCTCTAGACATCACCGAGGCTGCTGCACACTTGTTGCGGCTGAAAGATACGGGAAGATTTTTTCCTGTGTATTTCATACACATTGCCATGTGCCCCTCTGCATTCACATCAAAGGAGTGCTGGGTGGGAAAGCTGAAGTTGCCCCTCTGTGTATCCCAGAACTGTCTTTTGCAGTGCACTGTGACGATTTTTCAGCTAGTGCTAAACTTGACTGACTCACATATCAGAGTTAGTGCTGTTTTGAAGGTCTGAATGACTAATTTACTCCGCTTCCCAGTTTTCCATCTATCAAATGGGAATAAAAGTCTTGATAATCTGTGGGGGAACCTTTGAGCTCTGTGGATGTAGTCAAGGAATTGTCTTGCACAAAATTTCTTGCTATCATGGGCAGATTGCTTCTGGTACCCAAACTAGGTCACTCACAACTAGCTTATACATATCAACACTTCCTCTCAGGGTGCTGCGTAGCTGTAACTCTGAATCACTCAGTAATAGCAGTCTCAGTTTGCTTTGTTGAAGTGGTGGATGGAAAGGACCTTTAACTTCCAAGCTAATAGCAAGGACAGTAACTCATGGCAGAAAAGTGCCAAGAACAGGAAGGAGAATAAAGCTAGAATTCAGAAGAGGAAGCAAGTTGCAAATTTTCTTTCTGGAACAACTTCACACTAAGAGATAAAGGTTCAGATTATTTTGAAGATAATGTTGTAGAAGGAAGGAGGTAAGGAAGGAATCATCAGCTTATCTAGTGTGAAATACTGCTTCAGACCATCCAGTCTGAAATGTTTCTCATAGGCTGTAACATTGCAACCAGTTACTTTAATATTGCATGCCTTGTTTAAACAAGGGAGAAAGCATTGCATAGTGACTTCATTTAATTTCTGGTTCTCGTTCTCAGGCCAAGGAGGAGCTAGAGGTCGAATTCAAATTGGAAAGCCTGTAAGTGATATACATGTTCATTAAAAAACGTAAAATCATTAAATGCTAAACCACAAAAACAGCATTAGAAGCCATGCTCCGTGTGATTTCTGTAAAAAGTAGGCCAGACTTCTCATATAGCATTACTATGCTTTCTGCTGGAGTGAGATACACAGCTGATTTCTCCTGCCAGTTCAGTAGTTTAATTGCTTTCAGTGAATTATCTCCCAGCATCATCTTATCTTTTTATAACATCAGACTGTGCCTACTCAGGGGCATTTCAGAAGACTTTCTGAGTGTGTATGTGTCTGTTTTCATGAGCCTCTGTGTGTGTATCAGTCTTTCCATGTGTGTTCCAGTTTATGCACTGGAAAGACTCCTGATGCTGGTTGGCCTGGTTAGTTTTCAGTGTAGCTCTGACTCCTTTGACTATCTCTTGCAGCACTGTTTTCATCCTAGAAATTCTATTTTCTTCATGCCCAACAAAACAACAATGTGTTTGAAGCTCTGGTACAGGGATTTTTCTCCAGCATGGTCGGCCTGCTATTCACATGAGTCACCTTTTTTGGCCCTATGTTGCCATGAGGTAACTAAGGCACAGCCAAAATAAAGTGAATGACCTGAGGTTGGCCAGCAAGCCAGCAGGGAGCCAAGAACATAATTCAAATCTCTTGAGTCCCAGCCCATACCATATCCTGACTTCACCTTAATGATCCGGAAAGCCTTTTTTCCATGTAATTCATACCCCCTACCCTCTGCCCCTTTGATTGTATCTACATACCTGCAAATACATAAAGCTGGACTTCCCAGCAGGGCTGTGCTGACATACTAGCATGTTGTTGATATGTATTTTCTGTGTTATACTGAGGGGAAGAATTTGGCTGCCTAAATGCAGGTTCCATTATAGACAATCATGGGATTGCACTGCAAAAAACTAGCCATGATACACATCACTCAGCTTTGGTATAGCGGCAAGTCCCTTCAGAGCAGTGCTCAGTCCAAACAAACGTGAGGAGGAGCTTGTTGTGTAGCTGCTGGAGTCCCTCTGGCTGCCATTCTTCTAAATGGAGTGAAAGAGGAACACCCGGGAAAAACACGTGTGGGCATTTGACCAATCTGAAAATCTGTGTTTTTCATTTCGTTTCTCAGTTCTGGTCCTCATGAAGCCATTGCTACCAATGGAGTCCTAGTGGTAATGTGTATTCTTCCTAAGAATTCTTCTACAAGTAGAGGGGCTACAGAAGCTCTAAGCTATTAGATAGCCAATAGGCCAGTTCTTTCTCCTTCTTCCCCCTTCCTGTTGAGTTTGAAAATGGGGTATTTTATTTCTCTGCTCACTGGTGGTATTCTATTATTTCCCGTATGTCCCTCTCCCCTCCTCTCTCGGGTATCAGTACTCCTTTTAAAATGCACTCCTATTTACCAAAGCATAAAGGTAGAAGGGCTATGAAATTACTTGCTGATAACACGGCCAGCCTCTTCCTCCCCTGGGAGATGAGCCTTGCCCGTTGGTAAGTGCGGTACTGAATACTACCTATCACAATTTCATCCTCTGAAAGAGAACCGAGTGCCATAAAAAAAGTTAACAGCAATGCTTCTTCACGAAGCATTTTATACTACTGGCTCTTGATCTCTCAACAAATATCTTTCATTTATATTTGTCCTGGTTTAACTCTTTTCATCTGTGGTATTATCCTGAAAATTCTCCTGATTTTTCTTTCTTGGTATCTTTCTCATATTGGGAGAACTGTGTGTCATTTTCACTGAAGGATGCTCTACAGCTCCTCCAGAGCTTTTCCCTTCCTTTAGTCAGTGGCTACTAGGCAAAAGCAGAGAAATGCTAGGGAATCAGATACTTTAGGGAGCTGGACACGTCCAAAAGCTGGGTGCACGGTATTAAGAGCTCTCTGTAACCAGGTCAGATTGTGATACGCTTTCTCACACATTCTTATTCTCCATCTGTTACAGTGTCGTGAACTGTGCTGTTTGGAAGTTGAAGTGACTGAAAAGAAGCAGCAAAAATCAAGTAAAGTTATTGTTTTGTTAACTTATTTACCAATAGCCACATGCTCCTTTCATATAATGAATGAGTGAAATAAATAATATCTGCAGTATTCAGTGCAATTAGCACCAGGCAAATGCAGTAGGTTTGTTATAGATTGTAATGACTACATCCTGTACACCCTTTTGTTGTATGTCAGTAACGTCTATTAGAACTATATTAAAGCTGAAATCTCAGTTGTATGCAATGGCAAGAACACAGAGTTCTCTTTCTATGAAAGTAATCTGTTTTGCTCCTTTCTTTTCACTGTTAGCACTTCCTTGACATTAGAGAGCTTGACATTAGATAAGCCTGTGGTCCAAACTCTACAGCTCTACTATCAAGATCCCACCTTTAATCAAGCCAGGGCAATTTTCCTGTTAAATTAAACTAATTAAAGGTTCCTTTGAAGGGACCAGGGACATTACCCTAGGACCTGAAGGAGTTGCCAGCCCTCCAGGTCCCACCAAGTTCCACTATATCAAGTATGCAGAGCCAACACTGGATGTCATGTTGCCAAAGAAGAGGCGCTACCACCCCGTATGTTAGAACTGGCTGTAATAATGAACTCAACGAGTCACTTTCTAGAAAGTGGGAGGGGGAGAGAGGGTAAGCCCTTTTACTTTTTTGTGAAAAAAACATGTTATTTTTCCAGTGGACCTGTAAGTTCAGTACGGAGACAGGCTCCCCAGTGGTGATGCTGAATTCACTGCCCATGGGAAAGGAAATGACAGTTGCAGAGGTGAGTGTCACTGCCAGCCTTTAGAAATAAAAGGTCACTCGGGTAAAAATCACTCCTCCTTAAGCATCCATAATATTGTCCTGCGGGAGTCCCTATGGATGGGTTCTAAGAGGGCCAGAAATATTCTGAATTTTTCCTGCATCTTGAATGATGAAGAGCTCTACTTCTCTGGCTGTTTTCTCTATAGAAGACTGTTGCCATGGTGTTCCTTCGTTAGTCTCCTATATGTGCCCGTCGAGGATGCAGAGACCAGCAAGGATGTCAGGGAGTGAGACAGGTCCTTCATTACCTCTCTCCCTGTTTACCCCCAAGTTTACTGATGTCTCCATTACTTAGGGTCCAAACAGAAAGTTGCCCCTTGGACATGAGCTAGGAAAATGTCAGAAAATCTGCCCCCAATAAACTTTATGCTTCAAAGGGCTGTGGCTGAAAAAACTTTACCAAAAATATTAAATATAACATATGAATGTTGAAGAACATATGGAGAGTATTGCTCAAAATAAAAACATATGGTGTATAATTTTGAATAAAATTAACAGAAGAAAAGGATTCTTAATTTAGAAAACATATTTCTACTATGAAACACCTACAGGTTTCCAGGTTATTAGGGACAATCTCATCCAAAATTTAGATATTATGTTGTGAAGAAGAGAGAGAACATCAGATTTCAGGGCCATAAAAACATCCTCTCAGAACAGAGCCATTTTTATTGATTAATTAACTACAAAGGTTGCAATATCTAAATGTAGGGTCAGGATACACCTTGTTTTGTCAGCTGTTCCAGTGCCAGCTAGGTCCAACTTCAGCCTAATTTATTTACTCTGTGGTTGCCATTGTGATCTTGTATCAGCAGTTATCATTAATTATCAGAGAGGAAAAGCTCATTATTTATACAGCAGCTCAGCTCTCAGCAGTTCCACTGATTCTTTTTCCCTTAATACCTTTTGCTGGCCTACTTAGACTGAAACCACCTATTTATGTGTAAAAAACCTATGTTCCTATAAACCAACTTAAGGCATAGGAGGGAAATAAAAGGAAAAAACCTGCTCAGAAATCTACCACCTGTGCTGCTGCCTGCACCCCGGCCTCCCCTGCGTGCCTCCCCTGTCAGCTCCTGAGGCAGGAGCAGTCTTTCTCGTTGTGTGTTCACACAGCCCGTGTCCGGGCTCCTCTGAGCCCCCAACCTGCGGTCTGGGCAAGAGAGGTCTTCACCTTGCGCCAGGGGCTCTTGGGGACCACATGGCCACTGCTGTTAAGAGGATACCTGTGCCATGTCCTCAGCTCTCCTTTAAAAAGTCAAGACTCTGAAGGGCATCTGGGAAAGCCCGAAGCCGTTTCCTTCCCTCCTTTTGCTGGGCTTTGCAGCTCCTCCAGGTCAGCTGTGCAGCTGCCCTCCGCAGCTCCGGATTTAATTACCTTTGCTGCCCCTTGGGCTCACAGAATAAGAGGAAGAGCTGTTTCTCTGTGCACAGCATGATTTTGGACTCAGCTGCGTTGCCCACGTATCTGTCTCTCCTGACTTTTATGCTTGTAGACATATAGCCTCATCAGGTCATGGTTACAGCCAGTGCTGTCCATTCCCTCACCCATTTGGTTAAGGGAAGACTGGATTTTAACGTAGAATGAAATCTTGGCAGTAGCAAATGCAAACAGGCAGTCTTGTCGCTGAGAGATTGTGGTTTGGAGGTCAGTGATCTACAGCATATCCCATGGGACATAATGAATGCCAAGTGTCCAAAAAGAGTATTTCAGGATGCTGCAGAGAAACTCTTGAATAACATGGGAAATGGGGCCTGCTGTTTGAGTCCCAGGTACCTTCTGTCCCAAGATTATTTATGGTTTCTGTGGCCTGGAAGCAGGTGGGGAAATGGTTTTGAAAATGTACATAGAGATCTCAGACACTTCATTTCCACACCTTGTTGCCATCTAAATAAAACTGTCTCCAAGAGAGGGAGAAAAGAAACCTTAAAACCAAAATAAGGAATTTACAGTTCATATTTTTGTTTTCCAGGAGAAAAGATTTGATCTGAATGTGAAAGCAGAAAGCTGGTAAGGGATCTACTCCTATTCCTGAAGACTTTGTTTTCCAATTTTGCCTTTGTCTTAGCCACATGGAAAAGAAACAAGCAGACATCCTCAGTCTGAGAGCTAGAATGTGCTTTTAATAAAATGTAAAATGCTTATGCACTATATTATATATAATTGGACTTAGCAGAATTTGATCTTAATCAATAAATGTTGATAAACATGTATTTATTTTAGCATTATCCCTTCCCCTCTGACCACAGAATACTGTTGCTGATCGATTTCAGTCTCTGAAATTCACAAAAATGACAAAGTTTTGGCTAGAAAACCGTAATGGAGAGGAGTAAACACAGAACTTGATCAGAAATTACAATGATTAAATTGTCAGCATTTCTTTTTTTCCAAACTGTCAGTGTTCAGTAGAAATAAAACTTGTATCCTCTTAGGTGCAGTGATACTGTATATTGGGTAGAAACTAGGGCAGACAATGTGGCAAATGATTTGGCATCTATACCCGTACTCATTAATGTGCTGCAGTAAATATTAAGGTGTTTTGTGTAATCCATAACAATATATAGCACACAAAACTGGGCAAACTGATTTTTTCTTTTGGAGGCTGACTGGGAAATAAAAAAGAAAAAAACTTTCATTTTTGAAATCAGAATGTGCTTTCATTTGTTTCAGAAAGGCAAGTAATGAAGGACAACAAGAAAACCAGTGTTATTCCAGGACAGAGAAACATGCTTCCCACTTATTTTTTTAATGTTCTGATAACTCTAAAAGCCGTCTGTTTATATCCTGATTTCCGATGGAAACACGCTTATACAGCTCCACCTAACTTAGTTCCCCTTGTGTATCTTCCACTTACTGCTACAGCTGTAATCCTTTGGCTGATTTTATCCAAATCTGACAAGGGGAAGAAGTCCTATAACTAGTTTAATTGACATTATGGACTCAGTAGTAGAGACAAGAGGCTTTCTGTCACTGAAAGAAAAAGAAAAAGAAAAATCCTGCTATTTTCTGATGCTTGGCCATGGCTAGCTGGGCAGCCAGGGAGTCCACAGGTAGCTCTGGCCTGGACACAAGCTGTCAAGTCTCATGAAGGCCCATGAGAGCTGTCTAGTAGGCATGGGGTGGGAAGAGGTCGAAGGGGAGTTAGTGCACGAAATAGCACAAATGCACGGGGAAATAAGCTATAATAATGGAGTTATTTAAGGAATAGCTTACTAAATTTCAGATTAATGCAAATGAAACCTTCCTCTCCGTAATATTATGTATGTTTTACAATTCTTGAGTGCAACCTGACCTGATAACTGCTAGAGTTGAGGTGTGAAACAGCTTGTGAAAGTACAAAAGGATGAGAACAGCAGGGGTGAAATCCTGCCCCGCTAGGTTCAGCGACAAAGGTCCATCCCTTCAAGGCCTGCTCGTCACTGATTTCATCCTTACGCTGATCGCAGGACAGGTTACGTGGTCAGGCCCACCTCAGAGACGGGAGGGCTTTTTTGGCCGATGTAGTTCTGCAGCGATGCTCAGCCGCTAGAGGGAGATGCATTCACGCTAGAGTTGCTCAAAATCGGACATTTCCTTCTTGCTGGAAATGCCAACATTCGAAATTTCATTTTTATTTTAGACTTAGCAAGAGAGAACATACTTTAGAATTTCCAATGAAAAGGGGAATAAATACGTGTATTTTGCAGAAAGAAACACAGATATTTTAATTTTGGAGTATTCATGTTAATATTTTGTTTCATTTCTAAATGCTATATATTATTTCTTGATCAATTAGTAATAACGGGATGTAATGCCACTGATCAGTCTTACGAGTTGAAATATGCTTTCTTACTTTTAAAAATAGTTATAATAGTCTCTCCTGTTCTCCCTCTCATATTGCATCAACCTACTTGAAGGGAAGGATGTGGTAGACTATCATTGATCTGAGTCCTAAGATTGATAGGTGTATGTTAATATGCAAAATATGTACATATGTTTACCTCAGTAATTGCTCATGCAACCAAGACCTGGACATGCGGTTTGGCTTTGACTTATGTTCAGAGGAAATGGATTTCCTGTGGAAAAGGAAGAGACATGTAGCAAATGCTCTGAAAAATGTTTTTCACCTGCAACGGGACCTGCAGCAGCATGAAGTATGTGTTCTGGGGAGCGGGTCTTGACTTTTCTAGTGTCTACATGGTCTCTTCTAGAATAATGTTGAGCAAATTGGACCAAATGTGAGTGTTGTATAAATAACAGCTAGCACATTTATCTTAACTACATTTGCTACTGCTGCCAAGTCTTGCTGTTTCGAGAAACACTAGCTGCATCTTGCATATCTGGCAAATTAAAATTTCTCAGATTTGGCATGTGTTGATCCTTTCCATCCTATTCTATAGTTGGCTTGGTTCTTAAATACTTTGTGCTTATTAAGTACATTACATAACAAGTATTTATTCTATTATTCAAATGTAATCTTTTTGTGAGAGTTTAGTATCCTAAAGCATGTCCTCTGAGTGCTTCTTAAAATGTCTTCTTTCTTCCAATTTTGAAATTCCTCAAAATAAATATCCTTCATTTTAAAGTAGCTTCATGGTACTGAAAAAGAATAACCTCAATGAAGTTAAGTTAGCAACATTGTGAATTGTGTGGATCTTTTTAATGAGGTTGGCGTACACATGTAGTAGCAGATGTGCAAAACAGAAGAAAGTGGTAAAGGAATGAGAAAAGTGGAGAAAATGCATTGTTTCTTCCACAGAAGGGCTTCATCTTGTTCTTCTGTGCCCTCATTTGCCCTAAGTACAGATGGGAAAGAACTGAGATTTGGGTTAATCTCTAATCCCATATTTATGAAAAAGAAAGCAGCAGTAACGATCATCACACCACTTCTGAGTCTTCCCTTCTGAAAAGGGAAGGGAACTCCGAGCTCAGGAGCTGGGCCAGATGCAGTGGCATTCCAGGATGACAGGTCGAGTGTTGTCCATCTGAGTGTCCTGTCCTCATGTGTCCAACAGGTCCCTGTGGTGGCTATCATCACAACAGGCGGAGGACTGAAATCCATGACAGGACTCTACGGCAGTCTACTGGGGCTCAAGAAATTAAATCTCTTGGACTGCATAACATACATCAGTGGGCTATCTGGCACCACGTGGTAAGGACAGCTTGCACAGAAGGTTTTAGTAGCTCTGTGGAGGGGTGAAGCTGCTACAAGCAGCTGTAGTCACAGGGGTGCTAATGACCACCAAGAATGAGTCTGTTATGGGTGTCGGTAGCTACTCCAAGAATTATAGTACAATCTCTTTGCATTTTAAAACAAGTTTTAGGTTCTCTCCATTTGAAAGCGAGCTTGAAAAACTGGCTTGGCCAAAAAAAAAGATGGAAGCACTCTGAAAGCAAACAAGAGTGGGAGGTTTTCTTCAAACATCACAGAAACGAACTACTTCTCAGCTGCAGGCCAACATATCACTTTGATCCAAAGCACTGATTTTTGATTAGTGGTTCTTTACTGCCCTTTTCAACTCTGCATTTACAGCAGTTAAGTATGTCTATGACAATTATACTCATCAAAATAGATTCTGAGGAAACTGTTATTGGGGATGTAATTCTCCTCAGAGTATCATGTCTGATCCCATCTCCACAGATGTCCGTTGCTCCCAGTAACTTCTGAAGTAGGCTCTGCTTTTTAACTGGTCTTCTGCAGAAAACTGTAGGACACCGCATATTTTCCCTTGCAATCTGTTAGCTTGGAAACGGGCTGAGTTCCCTTGGACAGTGTTACCTCCTGTTCACAGGACCTAGAACTGTCCAACATGTGGTGGTCCCATTTAGGGTGTAACATGGAGGATGGCATTAAAATATAGTGTAGTGATACCATAAGGTTGACACTGAGTGATACAAAGCCAAGAGTCAGCAGCTGGTCTGAACTGATTTATGTTCTAGAAAACAAGCAAAGAAAATGCATTGTAATTTTTGGCCTTATTTATGCTTCCTAAATGAACCAATGTTTACCCTTAAGGTGCTTCTAGGTCTATTTTTAAAAAGTCAACAAAACACAAAAAAATATATACAATATTCTTCAGGGCCATCTTCAGAACAGTCATAGAAAATCTGGTGTGTTCATTCTGCAGAACAGAACAGGAAAAACAAAGCAAGCGTGAACAGTAACAAATACTTAAGTGTATTACCTCTGTCTCCAAGGGCAGAAAATTTAAAATCTTCTTTTGCTCCTTTTCATTTTTGTTGTCTGGATTATCGTTCTCCAGGACCATGGCAAACTTATACAGAGATGCCTATTGGTCACAGAAGGACCTAGATTGGCATATTGGTGAAGCCAAGAAACAAGCAACCAAATGCAAGATGGGCTGTTTCTCTATGGATCGTATGAAGTACTATAACAAGCAACTATGTCAGCGGAAAGAAGAGGGATACAGGACATCATTTATAGATCTTTGGGGACTCATGATTGAATACCTACTAAATGATGGGGTACGATGTATATTCATTTTCTCAGAGAATTACAGATTTCTTCCTTTCTTTTTCTTCTTTTTTATTTTTTATAATGAGCAGAGAGGAAATTAATCCATCATAGTTCTCCATATCAATAAACTCTCTGATTTTTCTATTCTCTTCAACAGACTGCTTACAGAGAAATACATCCCATGTTAATAAATTACATTATTTATGCAGCTATTTGGAAAGTGTAATTAGACTCTTGCTGCTATTTAAATAGAAATTGGAGGCAGTCTCAGGCAGTCTGCCTGAAATGCAGATTACACATGCAGAGGGTTCATGATGCAAAGCAGAATAATCTCAGCAGTGTGAAAACTATCTGAAGCAGGCATTAGTAAGAAACAGCTGGAACGCTTGCTGATTTGCACCCCCTAACATGTAATACGAGGTGTAGGTACACTGGAGACAAGTGCATATTCTGCTTTTGCTGACAAGGGCTGCTCAGACAGTAGCTGGTTTAAGTAGTATTAATTTTTACAAGCAGTAAGAAATTTGTTTTCATATTATCTGAAGTGGTTTCCATACCTTCAGTGCAGGGGTCCACTCCCTCTTCTCTCCAGTAAGACCTCCGTTCAAAAATGACTGATTTGGCATTCAGGAAGTGGGAAGGAATGGGTGGGTGAGGATAGAACAGACGTGTGCTTCGGTGGGGGATGAAATTGCTTATTTATTGCAATTATTTATTTTTATATAAGTATATATTATATTATATATAAGTATATTTCTGTTTATATGAACATAAATAAATATAAATAATTTATTCCCTGATATTCAGAGCTCCTAGTAGAGTATAGAGAGGAATACTACATATTAAGCAAAGGTGTAAGTTAAATAGATGTGTCTCTTTTTTCCTCAGCTCTGTGAGGTCTCCCTTTTTCTTCAGCCAAGTATTTTTCCCTTTGAGCAATGCTTACTATTGTTATGCAAGCATTAACCTCTCACAAATCTTCAGGGACTAGGTGCAATCAAGTTTGTCAGGCAGTTTGTGAGATTTTGTTAGGTTTCTTATAAACCTCTTCAAAGAGAATGAGCTTTTCTAGAAAAGACGTTAGGTGGGTTGCAAGTATTTTGCTCTCTAATTCCAGTGGCTTGTGCGAGGCTAGCCTGCGATCACTTGTGTGCACTGAGAAAGGAAACTCCACGCTGACATACTCAAGGGTTTCCTTCAGGCTGAGGAGAGCAAGCACTGCTTGCTACTCTCTTCATCCTAAGGAGCAGCTTGCCCCTTCCCCTTCCTGGGCAGTACTTTCTAGTATGTCTAGAAGTATACGCAGAAGTAGATTTCCCTCTCCTCCTTTTGGGAAGGAGTGTACAAAGTCAGGCTAGATGCCTGGGGAGAGCAACCTGTGACCTCGCAGGTGGAGCTCAGTCAGGTTCATCGTGCATTGCTTCCATGTGTTCTCTTATAACTATTTTTCTTCAAAACCAGAAAGATCCTCACAAACTTTCAGAGCAGCGAGAAGCACTGTGCGAAGGTCAGAACCCATTGCCCGTATATGTGTCAGTCTGCGTCCGGGACAACTATAGCACTCACGATTTCAAAGGTAATGATGATATTTCCGATCCTGTGGAGCTAAATTTTGCCAGTGGAAATCCAGGGTTTTTTGTTTGTTTGTTTTGTTTGTTTGGTTGGTTTTTCTGTGTGTGTGTGGTTTGCTCTTCACTGCTTGGTAGAACTTAGAGACAACAGTCCTGGTCTGTTAGCTACTTTATGGAGAAATAGCCATTGCCTCCAGGCCATGTGATTTTAATACAAGAGCTTTTTGTGATCAGCATTTCACCTTTCTGGTTATATGGAACTGAAATCCTGCCAGAAAGGCCATTTTTGAAATATTATCAGGTCCAATCAGAATAAGAAAAAGAAAGTATTGGAATTTTCCAAGAATTAAATGTTGCTTTTTGTCAATTCCGTTATATTTCAAAGATGAACAAGGACTGCATAGTTACAATAAAGCTTGGGAAAACATCCAGTGTAGTCCCTAGTGCAACTTTTGTTTTGCTCATTGTTTTGGTTATTTTTCCATGAGGAGAAGAAGCTGAAGGAGGAGAAGAGGAGGAGAAGAAATTCAAATCAGATTTTTATGGCTGAGGTGAAAGAATGAACCACTTCTGCCTGAAGGGGAAATTATGGTCCGTGACCTTTCTGTTATAGACTTTCCTCACGCTGCAGTTATATCAGGCAACTGCACTTCACTTGGAGTAACATCCTAGAAAGTAAAGGCAAAGTTCTGTCTTCCTCAGTACCACGTATAAAGTGTATAATTGACTGCTTATATCAAACTCATTTTTGGAAAAGCTGAGTACCTCTGTTGGTACATACCTAAAATATTCAAAGGAATAAAACTAAATGCGCTCTCTTCTGTTAACTGTATCCTTAACAGTGGAAGTATAGAAGTAGTGTGCGTAAGAGCAGAGAGCAGCCTAGTGCATGCCTGGAGAATCCTGTCTTGGTGCTTTCACGTGAGGTGTATAAAGGCTGGCCTCTTTCGATGCTCCCAGCGTACATCTCGTGCCACCGACAGCACTGCCACCATGCACATATTGCCCACAGACGGAGCAGGTTTGCAGAGTAACTGCTCCTGCCTCCTTGCATTTGAGGAAATGCCACTGCCATATTGTCCGAGTGCAGTTGCATGCAACCATCTTTAAATGCCTGACCCTGTAGGTGGTAGTTGATTTAAAAAAAAAAAAATTTGCAAAGACAGGGTAGAAAACAGAAGGCCTATTCCATTTCAGACTGGTTTATGCTTTAGCAGCCTCCCTTTTCACCCTCAGCTGAAGCACTGAGACTGTTCTAAGTGTCCCTTTGTGGCTGTATTGCAGAATGGGTGGAGTTCACCCCGTATGAGGTGGGATTACTGAAGTACGGAGCATTTATTCGCACAGAGAATTTTGGAAGTGAGTTCTTCATGGGACGCATGCTAAAAAAGCTCCCAGAATCCCGGATCTGCTACCTTCAAGGTGATGTATTGCAACGTCCTGGAATAGAGGCAGTTTAGTGCTGTACAATGCTGTGAACCAGAGGGTGGACTTTTCTGGTCTAGTGTACCGAACACTGGTGTGATATCACCTCCCAGGAGATGGGCATGTGTGGTAGTATGTCGAAAAGACTATAGTAAAAGATCCCTCGTCTTATTTCAGTTTCTTATCACTGGTCTTGGTATCCATAAACTGTGATAAAGCCACTTTTTAACATTCTGTCTTATAAATGGAATAGGTTAAGTGCCTTAACTCTTTCATTATAAGGAATGTTTCCCATTTCTTTGGTTATTCTTCCAGTTCTTCTCTGAATGCACTCCAATTTGTGACAATTTTGACGCTGCAGGAAACATGCAGCTGTGGATCCACTGCGATGTTTATATTTAATCCAGAGTAGAGAATGCAATCTGCTAAAGATGCAGGCAGCCCAGTGTTAAAAATGAGATGAGAGAATGTTATGTGTTTTTGTTTTCTTGGGAAGTAGTAGGCGTTCAGTTTTTGCAACTCAAAGCATGCATAAACCTGTGCTAAAAGGCATGTGTTGTTTAGCACTAGTAATATGCAAGGTGTCAGCTGCACCCACCAGCAGGAAGGCTTGGTGGTAGCACCCATCAGACAGGCTGTTAATGCCTCAAAAGATCAGAACTGAAGGGTCTCTACCCTGAATCCCTTTGACTAGTTCCTGACTTGTGCTAATGGGACTGTGGGCTTAGGGCTGTACGTAAAGACAATAACATTCCTTTACTGAGGAATTAGGCTAGAGTAGTTAGACTCACAGAAAAACCTGACAGACGAATACAGAACCATGCAAGTCCTGTTTCAGTCTTCTCTTCTTGTACTCATGCTCCTTCAAAATTCCTAGGTTTCAGTAAATATGCTGTGATATTAAATAGTCAGTAATCCCAGGAAAATGCCTCTCTAGCTGGCCCTTTTTTCCTGGTCCACTACATGGAAATTTGTTTTCTAAATATTGTGTATAGTGTATTGTATTATGTATTCCTCCGAAAATTAGGAAGTCTGATTACAACAGACTAATTAGAACCCATATTTAAATTTACAACAGCAGATGACATGACAGCATTGCAGGGGTCGTATCTTGTTAAAAAAGCTACCAGTGCCTCTGTGGGAAGTAAGGGAGGGGCAACCCTGGATGGAGAAAAGAGTGTGCAATGAAGGAGGAGCTTACTGAGTCTGCGAGTCTTTAACTGTTAAAAGTGCAAGGTTTTCACTTATGATTCCAATGGCCAAACAGCCAGTGCAGCCCTCTGTAAAAGGACTCATGAAAGCTGACCAGAAGCGTGTGCAGAAAAAGAGAATCTTAAATAAGGAAGACAAGGAAGGAAAGGATGTTTTTGCGATATTGGCATTACTGTGAGGAGTTCTTATTTTGCTTCTCAAGAGAGAGTTTTTGCTCCTTTACTCCTCTTCATTCTTTTCTCTCTTTGCAGTGCAGCAGAGTCATGTAGTATATTAGGTACAGTACTGACTGCAGTGTGAATTTAAATCTTCAGTCAGAGCCAATGCCATAGAAAATCAAGAGAGATTTAACAGCTTAAAAGTTTAGAAATATATGAATCGTACCTGTTCAAAAATTAATCCAAGAGATTGAAAGAGAAGGAAAAAAAAGGCAATTTCCAGTTAAAATGTGTTCTTGTGTTCACTAATTCCCTTTTTAGGTATGTGGAGTAGTATATTTTCTGTGAACCTATTACAAATATGGGGACTGTCCCACAGTTCAGAGGACTTCTGGAAGAGATGGACCCAAGACAAAATAGGAGATGTCGGTGAGAAATTTTTAAGTTTTTCAGTGATGGCCACTTAGAGACCCCTGCATGCCTTTCTGTATCACCCTTTTGAGTAGTTTAAAGGTAACATCATATAATCCTCCTAAAGGATAGTGACTTCCTCTTCCAATACGTAGGCTTAGGGAAATGCTGCTGTAATTATTAGACTTACTAAAACTCTTTTGGTTAAAACAGGCATTAAAAAGAAGCTTTAGAGGAGTAGCACATTTCTCAGAATATGTGGCATTGCCCCTTCTGACTCAGCCGTACCAGAACCAAGAATCAGTAGCTGAGAATAAAGTTATTTTACTGCCTGTATGGAGAACACACCTGAACATCAATTGGCTAATCGATATTCCCTGAATTTTTACTTTATTACTCAGTACAGTAATTACTGCACCGGATTCATGCTGGCATGAAGATAAATGAGGCCTAGAGGCTATTTTCTGAAGCAATACAGAAACCACAGCTTTATTGCTGAATCATCAAACATGATGGTAACTGCAATTACAGGCATCCCAAAAATAAAGACAATATCTGTGCAATCTTGGAAACTGCCAAGTCTGTCTTGTTGCACCGTCAGCCGCCTGGTCTGGCAAAGCAGGTTGTGATTTCAAGAAACCACGCCTTGTGCCATTTCTGCTTTTCATCCACATATGTTCTTGTGTAGTCACCTTGAAAATTACCTAAAGTTTCTAAGTATGAAGTTATTTTGTATGTTTTCCTGGGATACTCTCGTTTCGTTAATTAAGCTCAGGTAACTGCAGGTCATTGCTTTGTAGAAGCTTTCACTGTTACAGTAGACCTTATGGTGTATTTTTGTTGCCCATCTAGCTGAACTGAAGGGTATGCTCTAGCCCCCTTTTCTCTGTGCTCCTCTCTATTTCATATTTTCCGATAAGGATATGTAAGTTTCTGACTGGAAATGTATTGAATTATTTAGTTCCCTTCAGGTGTCCCTTTTCCAAGGCTAAACACAGCTTCTGATGAACCATCTCTGGGCTAAAGCTTAAGACCATCAACAAAGCTTTCTAACAGTAGTTGCTGTTCTCCTTCAGAATTATTTTTATGTGTTTAGTGAGTTCTCCCAGAATGCACTTTGTGATCTCTTAAGTACTAGGCCAACCATAAATGAATGTGAATTAACAAATAGTTTGCCAATTTTTCTCCCCTCTCTAGATGAAGATCCAGTATTGCCTACAAGACCCCATGAGCTAAGGACTCGCACATATACTCCTCCCGGTCCCCTTTCTAATGCTCTTCGAGGTGCCTTAACTGACCGCTTCTCAGTTGCCCAGCATCACAATTTCCTGAAGGGCTATCAGCTGCATAATAACTACCTCGAGAATGAACACTTTTGTCGATGGAAAGGTAATAAGAATTAACATTTAACAGGCATGAATTTCAGGTGGTTTGGGGTGGAATTTAGGAAAGAAACCTGTAAGACTTGAAAGAAGATTGCTCACATCTCCCAAAAGAACTTGTTTTTTTTTTTTTTTCTCTGAATAGAGAGAACAGACTAAGTGCTGCCAACCATTTAAGTATGGTTTTAAATATAAGCACATGCTTATGTGCTTTAGCTGAGCTCTCTCTGGATGAGAGACTTGCTGCCAACAGAGTGGAACTAAGGTAACGAAGAGCCGAGAGAACATGGGGGAAATCTTAATTTGGCAAGACTGGACCTCTAACTTCAGATGCATCAGGAACATCAGAGAAAATACGATTCTGTGAGAGAAAGCTGGAAAGGAATGGGGCTTTGTAGTTCACAGAAGAGAAGACCGAGAGGGAGACATAAATCTTTAAGCATGTTAAAAAGGATGGGAATATTTTGTTATCTATGTCAATGCTGGATAAAATAAGGAACAATGATTGAACTGAAGCAAGGGAGATTCAGGTTAAACATTAGAAAAAACTTACTGACAGTGATGAGTATAGCAAATTACTGGAACAGATTACTTGGGTTTCTCAGCACGTAAGGTTTTTAGGAATAGGTTGGGCAAATCTGTCAGAAATGCTGTGGGCTAGTGAGGTAGACTTAGATGGCCACTTGAAGTCCGTTCCATGCCTGTTTTACAATTCATCATTGTGACAATTAAATTAAATCAGATATCTGGAATAGTCAGTTCAACCTTGCAGTTTTTTTCCATCAAAATATCCACAGAACTTTTCTTATGCCAAGAAATGTTTTCCTTTCAGATACCGTGTTAGACACACGTCCCAATCAGCTGATGCAAAATCCTGATCACCTGGGCATGATAGATGCTGGATTTTTCATCAATACCAGCAGTCCACCGCTTTTAAGGCCACAGAGGGAAGTGGATGTCATCATATATTTAAGTTACACTACTGGATCACACACATCAGTGAGGAGGATCATGTTACGATATGCTCTCTGTCCTTTTGCTTGTAAAAGTCTAGCCTGTAGCACCTAGAAATACTAGTTATTTCAGTTGTTCTCTTTTTAACTGCTATTTCCTTTTTCAAATGCTACAACAGATTGGTGATTCAAAGTAAGAAGAAATGTATCTACCAAGAGTGGTCTTAATCTTCATTTCAGAAGCTCTAATGTTAATAATTCATTCAAATACATCTCACTTCACTAGTATGTTATCTTGCTAGAGAACATGGATTAGAAGCCGCAGAGAAGGAATGGATTTGCATGTGACAGCTGAGAAAGATATTCTTCCTGGGTTATGTTTTTCACTGTAGTGATTAATATTGTTCCTATTTCTTCCTGTAACTCTTGGAATCTCCCTTGCTGCTTTATGAACATATTGAATTATTCAAGAGGTCATCAGCATGTTTTCTTCCAGAATGATGGAAAGATCCTCTTATACTTTATGCTGAATCAAGCAGGTTCCCGGACCCTGCGCAGGAATATGCATGACTATGAGAATTGATTTCTTATGACTTAAATTAGAATGTAAGAGATTAGTTGGATACTCGGGGCAGAACTTTCCTAGGGTTGGGAAATGAGATGCAACTGGGAAGATCAAATGACAAGCATCTTCCTGCAGAAACTCAAGTTTCAAGGAGATGAAGTTAGTTAGCTGTCTATAAAGCTCTGCAGAGAAGAAGTTTGGGTCTTTATACTTCTGAATTTGAGTTTATTTAGAAACTTAACTTTACCCATCTGGGCCAGCATGGGTGGAATTATATTTTGTGAATGAGATCAGCTGTGCTACTGTTAATAAGCCATATGATGCATAAGACACATGTAAGGAAGTTTCATTGCAGCTTCACACATTGTCTGAGATTAGATTAATTTTATGAAGAAAGCTGCTGGGATTTTAAGTATATTAATAGAGACTCTTTCCTGTTTGATGGTATCCACTACTAGATGGTGTATAGGAGATAGCACAGTACATGGTGGGGCATGATGTTGCATTAAACATTTCAGGAAAAAGGCACAATATAGTCTAGTACTTCAGAGAGTTTTTTCTCATTAAAATATTAATCTCGATAAACACTGCACCATAATGCCTGCACAGACAGAAACATCACTGAATGCACAAACTTAATTTTGTTATCTCCTGTCTTTCTGTCTTCCAAGTATATAATAAGTTATCTTAAACATTTTCTTACTATTATTTTCTTTTCTGAATAATTCCATACAATATATTAAACACGGGGTCTTTCCTTTACTAACACTACATGATTTACTCTAAACTTACGCAAATTAATTCCATCTGAAATTAAGAATTCTCTGCCTCTGAATTTCTATTTACAGCTTAATATTCTCGTCTCTATATGTGGTAATTTTGTGTAGAGCAACTCTTGGTGACAATGAATCCCCATGGATCTGAGTAATTAAATCTTAATGCTAGATAACCATTCTTGGGCTTTAGTTAAATTCTAAGGCTGATTTCTTCTGTGATATTCCAGTCTCTGGACAAGGCCTACAAATACTACTCAGAACAGAAAATCCCATTCCCCAAAATTTCTTTGAGTGATGAAGATAAGAAAAATCTAAAGGAGTGCTACCTCTTCCAAGATTCAGATTCGCCAAGATGTCCTATTGTGATTTTTCTTCCACTTGTGAATGATACCTTCCGAGAGTACAAAGCACCTGGTAAGTTGTGAGCGGGGGCAAAGCATTAAACAAAAGACAGCATTACCAGCTTCCCTGAATCTGATGCAGCCTTATTTCTCCACTGCTGGCTCTCTTTACTGGCTGGATTCATGGGGGATCACTTTAGCTAATTAAACTTCCCTCTTCCCATCTCTGCCAACGTTGTTATGTTCATTCGTATTATTTTTGGCCCTAGGGAGGAGAGAGACAGCCCTTGCTTCGAGCTGGTATTTACCTTCATCTCTCTCCCACTGATAACATAAAATGTTGCCAGCTATTGCAAAAGTTTTTGCTAGGAAAAGTACGGCTCACTCAGATATGTTATCCCCTGTCTGTTGCCCAGGGATTTAATCCTACATTTGAAGAGACAGTGTCATGTGTGAACAGTGGGGAAGCAAGAACTTGGCTTTCAGGCTAAACTCTTGCAACGTCAAAATCAATGTGTCTCTTCTTGGTGGTTATCCTAGTTGTCATTTGGCTCACTGTGCTATGGCTGGGGGCTGTCATTCTCTTTTTGCCATGGCCAGTTGCTTGATATTCTCCCCTACTGCCAGTTGCGAGCATGCATTTACTGATCTTCTTGGGTAGCAGGCAGGTAAAGTCCAAATGCTATTTTGCCTTCCCAGAAGTAGAGAGACACCAGAAATGCAAATGCACACATGGCTCCACGTGGCAGGTGCTCCAGGACTGCTATCCGGATTGCAGGAACCTTAAGATTTCACCTGTTTCTATTTGTCCCTTCTTGCTGAAATGATATTCTGTTATTAGCAACCCTCCTCTTTCAGCCAGGGTCAATAGAGGTCACCGCTGCTCAGGGTAAGCCCGCCAGTGTGTTGACAGCTGGCTGTTGGGGCACCCTCTGACTGGTATTCCTCATTGAACCACGGCGTTAGTGAACATTTCCCTCACACTTCCCTTCTGCTTCATTACTTCAGGCACATGATGTTCTTCTGATTAGGAATGGTGATATGTGACCCGAATTATTGTCTCATACCCAGAACGTTTAAATCCTGTCAATTCTTTCCTGGAGGAAAGTCTCCATCTTTGGGCTGCTGTGGATGGCTTGTCATTGACTAAGACAAACTCAATGTCACAGCAACAACTCTGTCTTTTTCTGCAGGTGTAAAGCGCTGCTGCTCAGAGATGGAGGGAGGACAACTTGATTTGACCAGTCGCTGTTCGCCCTACTGCATGTTCGCGGTCAGATATTCCGATGAGAATTACCATCGGCTGCTAAACCTCAGCGAATACAATGTCCTGAATAACTCTCAGATGATTATGCAGGCCTTGCACATAGCAATGCAACGGAGAAGACAAAATATGTGCTAATCACCCACCCAATTGCCTGTATCGTTGTGGAGGAGTTTCTCATGCTCTAGCGCATGGAAAGAACATAGCTGTCTGAACACTAGCCACTCTGCACTACAGAAATTAACTGCCCCAGGTGGCTCAGTGGGTTTTTTTCACTTCCATAAAGTGGCCTCTCTAGGCAATCAAAGACATTGCGTATGAAATCTGTGTATATGCTTTGTTCCCTAAATTAAGGTTGTCTGTAGAACATACTTTACCAAAAATCCTTATTAGATTTTTTTAAATAGCGTTGTTTTAAACCTAATTTATATTCATGTATGACATACAGGAAACATATTTTATAATACCAAAGTGCTGCAGTAATACAACACAGCTAACACACCTACAGGCCACATGAAGGGGGTACGAATTTCTGCTCCCTAAAATCTTTCTTCGTTGAACACAACGTGCATCCAAACCTGGAAAATGAAGAAAATCTGAGATACTTCTTTTCCCCCTTCTAACCTGCCTTGCTGTGCTGATCTCCCTAATGACTCTATTTTTCTTCTCCTTCCTGCTTGTAATTCCCCCGCTGCTCGGACTTTGTTCCTTTCGTCTGTGCCATCTATGCCGTTCATCTACGCCACCTGCAGTGGAGCTGGATGTATGAGCCACGGCAGTGCTTCTTCCTACCTGTGTGTGCTGATGTGGGAAGGACATATGGAAAGACGCCACTTCTGGCCTGTCTGCTTTGTTCCTTGCACTGTATGGGTGAGGGTGTAATATCGGAGAGCGGCCTGGAGGAGCTACGTGTTGGGGAGCATGGCCCAGAGAGCAAGAAGCAGAGTATTGGAGATAGAAGCTGGCACTGGATCCCTGAAACGACTCTGTTTTGGAGGTATCCTGAAGAGAAGCCAAAGAGAATGGAAGTGTTACAGGGACAAATGTCTGTGAATGCGACCAGATGTGTTAATCGCATCTATCTCATGAGCTTTTTTGGACATATATACAAGGAAATAGCAGTCTTGGAGGAAGGCAGGGGAGGATTTTTCACATGAAATTTTTGTTCCAGTGAAAGTTATAGTTTGAACACATCAAAACTTTCTCTGAATTTATGTCAGTTTTGATTGTTTTGTGTTGAAAGGTTATAAAAAAGAATCAAAATTTCATTTTGAAGTTTTCAAAATAAAACACTCTGGGTTTTTTTCCCAGGTGAATTATCTCTCATACTAAACTTCCTTTCTTACATTGAAGAAGAAATAAGAAAGAGTGCTTGAAATTAAAATATTTTACTTCCGCTGTGGATTGAAAAACCTTGTTGTTTTACCCAATGCAATTTTTAAAAACATGTTAGGACACAAGCCTATCAAGAAAAATGCTTCTTTGTTTTGTTCTAGTTGTTCAAACTGTGCACAGAGCAGAAGTGACTTTACAGTAGCCTGCAACAACTTAAACCACCGTAAAATGATAGGAACAGACCCTCCATGGGATCTAGCCAAAACACCAGTAAAACTTGTGGGCCTGTGGGATTCTTTATTCTTCCTCCTTATTTCTGGAAGATGTCTTTTCTGAACTGTTGAAAGAGCTGAGGATGAGCCGTAAAAATAATAAATCCATAACAACCACTGCATTCCAGAAGCAAGTTAAATTGAAAATACTCCTTTTTTATTAAGAGATTTTGTGTCCTAATGACAGCCGAGCAAAATTTTTGAACAAATATTTTATTCAATGAAATAGGGGTTACCAGGTCAACTAGGTATCCTAGTTTGGGGCTAAAATAAACTAGGGAAAGTGCGTGAGTAAGTTTAAACATTTCATGTTAATATTTTCCAGAAGGCTTTGTTTTGAAATGTAACCTCTTTTTAATAGATCACCTACCTCTTCACCCCGGGGCACCCAACCTGAAAATAACAGGCTTCGTTTACAGCCAAATAACATATTTGGCTTGGTGCAAAATGATACTCTGAGGATTTTCATTTTCACAAGAAACAATGACAAATTATCCTTACAAATTGTTTACAATGACTTCTTCCAACACTTTTGTCATTTAGGACATCAAACCAATCCTTAGCCTTTTCTGCAACTAATTGTGTCTAACGTTGCGAGCCTAAAGATCAGAACACAAATACTAATGTTTAGAACTCTCTGAGTTTCGAACAGTTATGCCTTTCTGGTTTTTTCTTCTATGGTAGTTTCACTAGTGATCATCTGAAATCTGGTGCTATGTGCTCTGCATATTAACCTGGACATTGCCTCCATTTGAAATCCACTGAAATCCTTGCTGCCAAAAAGATGTTTTTGGCCATAAGCTCTTGCCACCTCCAGCTCTGTTAGTTACCTGCAAATATTTCATGTATACAGTATTGCAAAATAAAGGCTTGTTTGGAGGGTTAAAATTCTGCCTTGCTCAACATATTCAAGCATTCCAGTAACATGCTTTCGGTTCACAGTGTGTTCCTTGTTCCGGTAAAAACAAAACTGCTGTTATTTAGGCAAAGAGCATAAGAGTACCAAATACTTGTGGTGAGCACAGTGATTAAAAAATGTCTCAGAGATGGATTTCACAGGGGACAAAGTGAGCTGTAGTCCCTCCCTCCTGCATTAGATCTTCCCATGAATATATATGTCCCTGTGCCACATGACAAAGTTACACATCCATTGAGACAGGGATCAAGCATGCTGTCTGATACATGCCTAATTCAATTTAGTGCACCTATTTCTGCAGAACAGCCTGCCATGAGACAACTAATCCTGCAAGAGCTGTCTCTAATGTGGATTACAAATATCATTCTTGAAGACGGAAGAACGGTTATAACTTTGCAGTACATCGTACCCCAGAGAAGCAGCCTGCGTCACAGCTCGGCTGACGCCCTCGCTGCCGGACGCTCGTCAGGCTAACGGGTCTGGGACTGCGTGGTGGACAAGCAGGCGTAAGCTTTCCCTTTGATCTGGGAGTCTGTGATCATCACCCCTGGTTTGGCCTGCTTCACACACCTGCTCAGCACAAACTCCCTCTAATTTTGAGAGAGTTTGAAAACTTTTTGAAAAAAGTTTTGAAAAAACTTTTTTTTTTTGAAAAAGAGAGTTTGAAAACTTTGAAACTCTAATTTTGAGAGAGTTTGAAAACTGAGTTTACTTTTGAAAAGCGGGGTGATGCAGCCCCACGATCAGCACCTCTGGACAGTTGTCAGCCAGCAGCGCTGTTAAGAGCAACTTTCTCTGAGCTCTGTCCTGGTGAACAGTCTACTTTATAGCTCAGTCCTCCAAGGAGGTATAATAACAAAGCGTTGCCTTTAACTATGACTGAAAGACACAGATGTTGCCAAAGCTCTTCTATGACTTAATGAAAAATGCATTTCATCAAGCTGTATAATTGCAGCTGGCACACAGAGGAATCATGCCATGTATGTAGACACAATTCTTCACAGTCTTGTGAAATAACGTAGCCTATAGCAAAAATTTATTTTACCAAGTTGGCCATGATGACTGCTGACATTATTTGACACGTGAATGTGCAAAGGCGAATCGAGCTGGCTAGTAACAATATTTAACAATTAAGCTCAAGAATGCTCAGGAAATGGCTAACTTTTTGCTCATAGACAATATACCAGGACAACAGGGAAGCCAAAGAATTCCCTCCCCCTCCCTGAAACCGTGTTGATCTGCTGAAGATAATGGCAGTTTTTGACCGCTCTCTTTAATCCTTTTCTAGTGAGTTGTGAGCCATGCTGGTTTCCACAGTATGGGTGCGTTGGATGCTGCCCAACGTACATGCGGGTACGTGCAGCTGTTTCGCAGCGGTGGCTGGTTTGTCAGGTTTGCAGAGGAGCTGTTCCACTGGCGCAGAGGGTAGCGTGGAGCTGGCACCGTGTTTTGCCTCCAGTTGGCAGGGTTCATTGGGTCAGGCAGAAGCGTTTAAATATAACTAGATTACGGCCAAGCGTGGAAGCGACAGAGAAGTATTCATGGGGGTGGAGCTCAGCTAAAGAAAGTCATTGCTTCAGGACTCATTTTCTAAATAAAAAAAGCAATAACGAGCCATAGGAAGGAAGAGGGAAAGAAGAAAACCATCTGAGGAGAGATTCAGCCCTGCTGGACTTAGACTGTGTAGATAGAAAACACTGTATGAGTGTCTCTGCTCTGTGTTCCTAGACCTGGAAGAGCAGGGGTATGTGGTACCGAAATCCTTGAGCTGGCTTTTGCTAGAGCCAATGTAGTCTGAGAGCGATGGTATTGTCCCTGTTTTTCCTTTAGCTGTTGTATCCTTCTTACTATCACAGATAAACCAAATGCATTTAACATACTACTGCTGCATCTTATTGCAGTGTATATGTTCCCGTAGGTTCCGGGGACTTGCTGAGTGAAAATGTAGTGTTCAAGTAAAACAGCATCTTTCTCTTACCTTTAATTGTAAACTTGCCATTGGCCAGTATTGGGCAAAGAGACCTGAACAGCATACTTCCAGCTATTGTTCAGCCAAAGGTTTTTTCCCTTCTCATTCTGCTACAGGATTCAGTTTCCTAGTGTAAAAAAATGGGAGGGGAGTATTGGGTTTAAGAAATCAGAGGTGGGGCTCTGAGTCAGTTTATAAAACAGTTGCTCACCTGCATACGAGACGTTTAAATCACTCGTGTCTCTGGAAGCTGGGAGATGTGAAATTGCTCTGCCACTGATAACACTGTACGTGCACGTAACAGCGACCACAATGGAGCAAGATGACATTTTGTCTCAGGTAAGAAGGGTGCAGAACAAAGCAAGGGTGTCTGAGATGTCAGCGATTATGCTGTATGCAGGGCAAAGATGGCACTATTTGCATGACCTGTCATTGACTATAAATGACTCTTTGCAGAGGAAGAAGGAAGTCAATGCTTCAGGAGATCATTATCTAAACAAACAAACAAAAAAAAGATAGTGAGCCATAGGAAGGAAGGGAAAACTGCTCGGAGAGTAAGATTTTGTTTAAAAGGTGTCCCTTTTGCATATTTTGAGTTGTCTTCTTTTCAGAAACATGACCTTAGAAAGAAGTACCAAATAGCACAGAGATGAGCTTCAAGGAGAAAAATTAATTACAGGGAGTGTTTACTGGAGGCAGGTTTGCTGTTCCTTTAATAGGTAGAGCTAAGAGTAGCCTTCCTCCCCATGCGTCACCCAAGGGTGGACCTCACCTGCCTGGTAGCCTCTGCTCAGGTTTGCTGGGGCAGTTCTATCGCTGGCAGTGGCACTGGCCACAACAGGGAGCATCCTTACCCACTGAGGCTCTGTGGAGAGCACCCGCCATGGGCTCTCTTTCTCTATTTCACAGTTATGAATTCATAACAAAGACTGCTTTTAAGAGATAGGATGATTTTTCTGGGGGTAACTTTAGCCCTTCTTGTTGCAGGAGCTGACCACACAAACCAGTTCGGTAGGAGATGGAGTTATACGGCTGCATCCTGATGGAGAACAATGGACTTCTGATACCAAGGTACTGCAAAGGAGAATTTCAAAAGAAAACTCTAAAAGGGACTTTTCTGCTGAGTGGTGCCGGGGTTGGAACAGATGGGTTTAATCATCTGTTTAACAGACTAATTAGCTACCACAGCACATCCAGCTTCCTCAGTGAAACACCCTTCCGCTTATCTTTTTGATCACTTCACTTATCCAGTGTTGCTTCATGTTAAAGTCTTAGTGTTGTTTTCTATCCTTGGTACAAGGGGAAATGAAACCTGTTTTAATAAGACCAGTATCTTCTAAAAGGATGGGTTTGAATGGACTTCCTGCTAAACGTGCCTTGCTAAAGCACAAGGGCATATCTACTGTCAGTGTAGGTAATAACAGCTGCGAAACTGTGCCACTTACACCCACAAAGAGTTTGGCACAATCTTGCAGTGGATTTTCAACACCTGATTCCCTGAGTTGAGCTTACTTCTGGCCTCTACAAAGAAAGAAAGCCCAGCCACTAGTTCCCAGGAGACTTCAGGCATGTTACGTGCAATCTTTCCCCTGGGAAATCAGGGGACCGGATTTGCTTAAAAAGGCATTTTTCCACCAATAAAATAACTCCTTATGACTTTGCTTTTGCCACCAGAGAGCGTATTTAGTGTTAGACTGGGTTATAGCACTTTGCTCCATTCTTATATATCTACCACTATACTTGGTTCTGGCTCAAGAAAAACCCCAGTAATGGCTGTAAGGAATGAAAGGAGCCTGCTAAATTGTCCACGATTCCCCAGAGCATGATGGGCTCCATCTGTGCTCACATTAGTGAATCATGAATTTTGTAGGGGATGAGCTAGCAAAGCAGTAAAGGCAGCATGATGCCAGTTTAAAGGGGCCTGTCTGAACCCCACTCTGCATCTCTACAGAAAGCCTGAGTGCAAGGAGCTGGATATGATTTGTACTAATGTTATTTTTGTACTGGGTACAAAAAGTGGCACCAGACATAGGAGTCCTTTAAGGTTCTTTTAACTTTGTTATCTCTAGTTTATTGTCATTTATTAATAATTAAGTACTGCCCCTTCTGTTTTGAGATGAGTTAAGATGCTGAGTAACAAGCATTGTGCTTATGGTTTAAGAATATTCATTCTTTCTGTTGATTAGTTGAATGGAAAGCTGAAGATAAGAAAGCATATTCTAAAGTGCCACTCTCTATAATTCAAGGATAATTAAATGTTTAGAACAATGAACCAAACTCTAAAGCTTTTTAAGTCAAAACTCAACCCATGATGAAACTATCTCTTCATTAGCTATACCTATATGACATTAACTAAGACTCCCTGACTGTATCAAGGTATGTCCACGCTTGAGTACTGGCAGTGCTTTGTTCAATTTGCAGTCCCTCTCTGATGCTTTTGGATCACCACAGGTCACGAGGGTGACTCCAGAGGACACTGCTCCTTAAATTGATTTGAGCTCTTCCAGGAGAATGCCTTCTCCACAGCCAGCCGCCATCAGCACAAGCCCTTCCTCGCGTCACTTTTTTGCATTCCTGACTATGGCCACTTCTCCAGCCTCCCCTCGGGGTGATTTGTGCTTCCCATTTTGCATTGGTAACCCGTGCTTACCTGATTTTTCAACAGCTAGCAGGCAGCTTAGTAAAAGCTTTATATGGCAAAAATAAGGTCGTGGGGAATCTTATCAAGCTGAACACAGAAGGCTTACATGAAAAAAATGTGTTAAGCACCAAAATATACTCAGCACAGTATTGCTTCTTAGTTGCTTTCAGTTTCCTTCACCTCTGCTCTGTCCTCACTGAAATCTCAGAGCATTAAGGTCTTACAGAGCCCCCTCACCTTTCTGGTGGCTCTCTGATCATTTTCTGCCTATACATGCCTCATTTATATTCCCTTGGAGTTAGGTTTTAGACACAAATGCAAGTGCTTTTGATTATCTTCATCTGAGCTAGTCTTTGTATACTTAACATGATTTGACATCCTTGATTTACATATCCAGTCATCCGTTATGCAACTGAACACAAAAGTTGCTGCTAGCTCTTCCTAGGACTGGTTGCTTTGGTTACGTGAAGGTTACTTTTGCCTTATTCTTCATTAACTTGCTTGCTTAATGCCCCCAATCTGGTCAGTATATATTCCCTAGCCCCAGCTGCAAGTATTAATACACTCAAGTTAAATATTATAGGAGACCCCATGTAGACATATATTCCATTGAGTCTGTGAATAGTGATGCGTTTTCACTTTTCATAGAAGGTAAACTTGGCACATTATTAACACAGAGCACGCACTAAATTGCTTCACTTGGACAGGTTCGAACAAAGTAGAAGCCCTATTCTCCTCTCCTATGGTATCTGTGTTGCATGTGCTTCTCACTAGCACTAATGAGGTCAGCATCATCCTAGTGTCACTTCAGGGCTGACACTGGCCCTCGTGCAGTCATTTTGCAGTACAAGTGGTCAGTAGGCAGCGTCATGACCTGTCTGTGTGCCTTCAGTGGCACTAAAT